CGCCACTTGGGTGAACCCTGCAGTGCTGCACTCGTCCAGACTCTTTCCACGGAGCATCTCACTCCTTGAATGGAAGTTTCTGAGATCACTGCTAGTGCTCCCAGGAGTGTTGCCAGGTAACATACACGCGGTCCTGTTACATCTGAATTTCAGATAAACAGCAAAAAAACTTTTTACTTTAAATACGTTTCAAATGTTGCATGGACCATCCTTATCCTTATTATTCATTGTTTATTTGAAATTCAAATTTATCTAGGTCTGTTGTGTTTTTATTTGCTAAGTCTGACAACCTTAGCTTATGGGGAACTAAGCGGGCTGTTCCAGGACCCACTGAATCTGGATTTTAGTGATTGCATATTTTAGTAACTTGACCAAGATTATAGTGATCCAAAGTAAAATAACTTAGAGGATGTGTGAGTTTTCCTATATTCTTATAAAACGAAGACTCCCGATTCTTTTCTTTTCCACCCTCCTTCCCCAGTAAAAATAACTAACTCCTATACACAGTACGAAGCAATGATTATCCACATATCTGTAAGCAGTGGCCGTGGGTCCTGTCATTTGGCAGAGGAAAGCCTCATGAAGTTACATGGCATTGCAGATTATCAAATGTTGAATCCTTGAATACCTGTTAACATTAGAATGTGTTGCGCTTTATCATTCTTTGAGCCAAGCTACAAATGCTTAAATGCCTCTTCAGTTATATGAAGTACATGTTGTTGACCAAGATAAGCACTCTTGCTCTCAGACATCTTACTGTCTTGCAAGGAGTTGGATATGTAAACCAATAATTATACTACAGGATAATGAACAGTAGTACTGTTAGGCAGACAGCTTGTTCTGGAAGTATTTGGATGGAAAAACTGATTGGAGAATTATAAAAAGGTTCTCTGGAACCTGGCCCTTAGTGGATGGAAAGGGTTTGGGCAGATATGGAAGGTATTTCAGGCTGTAAAATAACAGGAAAAACAGTCACGGAAGCTCTTGTTTAGGGCAAAGGTAGTAATTGGACAGCTAAGTGACTTAATGTAGGAAATGTGGCAATTAAGGCTGTGAAGGTGGTATATTTGTTCCTTGGGGCTGCTGGAACAAAGTACTATAAACCTGGTGGCTTAAACAGAAGATATTTATTGTCTCACAGTTCTGGAGGCTGGAAGGTCACAATCAAGGTGTTGGCAGAGTCGGTTCCTTTTGGTGTTTGTGAGGGAGAATCTCTTCCATGTCTCTCACTCAGTTTCCTCTGCTCCTGAGCTTGTAGGTGGCCTCCCTGTGTCTCCCTTCTGTATGTGCCTTCACATTGTATTCGTTCTCTTTGTATGTGTCTCTGTGTCCAAATTTGTCCATTTTGCAAGAACCTGCTCATACTGGATTAGGGTTTATCCTGATGATCTCGTCTTAACTGGATCACCTTGTGGAGATTATTTCCAAATAAGTTCAGATTCACAGGTGCTCGTGGTAAGGGCTTCACCATCTTCTGCGGGACACAATTCAACACAGTGTTTATCTTTAATGGATGGATTGAGGCTTATATTTCAAAGAGTGTGTAAAAACCAGTGTTTAGTATGTTATACTTTCCTTTTAGGCAAATGGGAATTGTGAAAGCTTTTTGCGCAAAGAAGTAATATGAACCATTCTGATTGTAATGTGAGAAGGTGCCCTCCAGAGTTGAGGGCAGAGATAGTATGTTTGTATACTAGTGTTACACTGTAAAACAGCTGTTACTAATATGTGCATATTTAACTTTCAAGGGACTTTAAATTTGGATATTATTATAATCTTTTTTAAATATGAAGAAACTGAGGTTTAGAGAAAAACACAGGGTGGGTGGGGAAATAGGAATGTTGATAATTTGTCCCAGTTAGACATGTTAAGCTCAACGTATTGGCTGAACATTCCTGTGGTGATGTTAAGTTAGTAGTTTAAGATTTGGGTCTGGAGTTTAAGAGATGGGTCAGAGTGGAAAGCAAATATTTAAAGTTTTTTTAAATTTATTTTTTGAGAGGGGGAGGGGTGGAAGAAAGAGAGGGAGAGAAACATTGATGTGAAAGAGAAACATCCATCGGTTGCCTCATGTATGTGCCCCAGCCAGGTACCAAACCCGTAACCCAGGCAAGTGCCCTCACCAGGAATTGAACCAGTGGCTTTTTGCCTTGTGGAAGGACGCCCAACCAAACGAGCCACATTTGTCAGGGCTGGAAAGCAAATATTTACTAATCATCAGCATAGAGGTGCTACTCACAACCATAAGAATGGGTAGGCTTGCCTGGGGGGATGGTAGTATAGAGCAAAAAGAAAGGAGATGCTGATGGCGGAACCTTATAGTTGGCTGCATTTGAGCCACTGAAGATGGAGAAAAGTCAGAGAAGAAAAGGCGGAAGAAGTAATGTTTTAAATGAGGCAATGATCTGTGTATTGTCTGCAGAATGGCAGAGGAGGATGAAAACTGAAATAGAATTTGGTCCTTATTGACATTTTAAGTGAATAGTAAGTGAGTTGGTGGATTCCAGATTAAAAGGTGTATGTAGCAAACGAGTCAAGGAGTTAGATGGCCTGTCATTTTGAGAGGTATATATAGTGACAAGAAAGGAGATAATCTTGTTAGTGAAAAATATTTCTGCTTTTTTTGATTAAATGGAAGGATCCATTGAAATATTGAACTAAACAGAGAGAAGATTGGGGCCGCAGCCTTAACTGGTGTGGAAGGGAGTATTAGCCTTCTACAGAATTCTAGTCTTCAGTAATTTCATGGTTTAGAAAATTTGGTTTATTTTCTACTGGTAGGGTGGGGATTGGTGGTTCACAATATGAAATAATCTCAGGTTACTATTATTATTAAATATGCTGTTAGATTTCAGAGGAGTGATAGAAGTTATAAGTTCCTTGGATTACATATAAATAAAACATTGATCGTGTGGTTTAATACTAGTTCAGCTGCTACTTACGATGCTTCTTTCTGAGTTTAACGAGGGAGACTGCATCAGTCCTAACCTGCCCTGTGCTCCTCATTAGCAGCTGCTGTGTGGCTGGGTAGTGCTGCCTGCAGGTTGTGGTTACAAAGCGAGCAAGAGGCATGGTGATTCGGCTGTAATTATATTCAATTTGTGGGAAAGAATATTTTTTAATGGTAAAAAGTTGAGCTCACATTTTTTTGCCTTACACAAAGTAGGAAATTCAGTGTTAATAATCAGCATGTACTTCCTTTTTTAAAAATTGGAAGTGGCTGTATCTTTTCGTAATTTATTTGAAATTTTTGTGAAATGTTTGATACAAAATGAAGAGTGTAAAAATATATATGTTTCAGCCTAAGAATAACAAAAAGAATATATATCACCTATCACTCAGGTTAAATAATAGAAATTACTAGTATTTTAGATGGTAAAGTGTGTTCCTCTGTCGTATCTCTATCCTCTCTGTCCCCAGAGATGCCATTATCCTGACTTATGTGTTATTTCTTTTCTTTATAGTGTCATTGTGTATATATTCCTAAATGACATATTGTTTACTTTGAAAAAGTGAGTACTGTGCCGAGCTAACTGAGTTAGGGAAGGGCGGCATTTCCAGTTAGATGGAGGCACCCAGGGAAAGCGCCAGTGAGTGTGGTATCAGGCTTACCCAGGCTCAAGCGCTCCCCCTCGGGCAGTCAGTAAGCGGTGTCATGAGTGAGTTCCCAGAGACACGGGGCCAGCGTGGGCAGGAGTCAGGCAGGGCTACAGTATGGACCCTGCATTACATGTTTGTTTAGCAGGCGTGCGGTCACATGGGAAGATTGCTGTTCTTTATTTTTGATTTCTACGCTCCGTGTGGTCTTCTTTCAGCACTTTGGAGTATATCAAAGCAGAACTCATCTGGGAGGTAAAATGAGTGGTCTCAGCTGATCCAGGTAGCAAGGCAAGGTGTGGGGTGAGTGGGTACATCAAGGCAAGGTAGATATGAATGAGTCTGGAATAGGCTTATCGGGGCATTCTGGGCTGAGGACCAGTGTCAGTGTTTATCTTGGAGGTGACAGGTGATTGTGCTCAGTGTCTCAGGAGTCACGCTGCCACTGGGCTGGTTCCCCTTTAAATCTAACGCACAGCCGGCCTCCTGGCTCGCTCTCCACAGGCCTCCTTGAAGGTTGCTGTCATTTCTCTCCCACGTTGGATTGCCTGTGTTCTGTATCCTAAGTCATCTTTTTCATTAAAAATTTACTCTTTTTCTTCTTACGGAAAACACTCTCTAGTTGCTTCTTGAGAAAGGATGCAGGGAAGGTAAATGTTTTGAGCTCTTTCACGTCTGAGAAAGCCTTTATTCTACTTTCATAAGACGGTTTGGGTGAAGAATTCTAGGTTGGAAATGATTTTCCATTATAACTTTGAGTAAAGGGCTCCATTGTCATCTTTTTTCGTATGATAGTTGAGGTGACTGAACTGAGTCCAGAGTCTTTGTGTATGGTGTGTATTTTTTTTCTAGAAGCTTGTAGAATCTTCTTTTTGTCCCCAGTGTTAGGATGTTTCACAATGGTTTGCCTCAGTATAGGTCTCCCTTAATTTTTTAAACTAACACTTGGTAGGTCTTTTCAAATGGGTAGCTTACGTCCTTCAGCTCTAGAAAAATTTCTGGAATTCTTTGATTCCTTCCCAACCTTGCCCTCCTTCTCCATCTTCTTTTTTTCTGGACGTCCTGTTACTCACATATTGGACCTCCTGGACTGGTCCTCTAATGTTGTTCTCTTTTCTCTCCTATTTTTCCATTGCTTTATTTTTTTTTCTCTGGTTCTTGGAAGACTGCCTCAATTTTATCTTCCAGTCCTCTGTCTTTTCATTTCTGATATTGTGTTTTTAATTTCTAAGAACCCTTTATTTTTAAATGTTATTTACTGTATCCTGTTCTTGTTTTATGGGTATAATATCTTCCATTATCTCTCTGAGGTATACGAATATATATGTGTGTGTGTATGTATTCTTTGTCTTATATAACTGGTAATACTTAGCTGTCTGCTCATGATTAAAAGTTGAGGACTAAAGCCAACCAACGGGTCTGTTTACTTGAATGTGTTTCTGCAGAAATTTAGAGAACGCTGGCAGTAGTAAAGCCGTGTTACGAGCCTTAAAGACATTAAAGTCATTAAGGTCCCTGAAAATGGTTATAAGAAATACAAAAAAGATGAGGACTAAAAAACTGGAAACTGTTTTTGGTACATTAGTGATACTGGCAGATGTGCCTCATATATCTCAAAGTTGCCTTGTTTCTTCCTTTCCAATCTTCTGCTGAGGTGGGGAGGGCTGGTTGCCTGGCGTCCTGGGGGAGCAAGAAGGTCGAGGAATCAAAGTGCTTTTCAAACAGGTGTAGCGAGATCTTCCTTGTTTGAACCTCCTCCTCTTTCTCTACCACCTGCTCCTGTCCCATTTCTGGAGGTGACTGGGGTTGCCTTCTGAGGGTTCTGCAGTGTGGAGTGCCAGGCTGTGACTTGGCTTTCCTGGGTCCACTAAACCACTTAGGAATAATCGCCCATCCTCTTTCACTCTTCCAGGGTTTTGTTACTCTTATCTCTTCCCCTTTGTTGCTTTTATCTATTCTCCTTAAGAGTTTATTTCTAAAAGTCTTTTACTGCTTTTATGAAAGAGTCACATTTTATGCATATTTTTAATTTGCCATCCTCATCCTAAAGCTCTGATTATTTAAAATGTTTAGTCTATGCCTTGCCTCTTAACTTGAACAGATTGTTAAAGTTAGCCCTTTTCATCTCTTATTTTAGTTTTTGCATTCATATTTATAATACATGAAACTCATTGTGTGGACTTCTTGAGACTGTATGAACTCAAGGGTTTATAAGTGAAAGCACCTTTTGTGAATAAAAAGGTTGATTGTTTTTTAAATTTGCTCTTGTAGGAAAGTGAAAAGGTTTCTGAATACCCAGCAGTGATTGTGGAGCCAGTTCCAAGTGCCAGATTAGAGCAGGGCTATGCAGCCCAGGTTCTGGTTTATGATGATGAGACTTATATGATGCAAGATGTGGCAGAAGAACAAGAAGTTGAAACCGAGAATGTGGAAACAGGTAGACATCTCATCAAATGTTTATTATTTCTAACTTTCTCATTTTGTAAGTGTCAACATTACTATTGCCAGATGAAAAATGTACCAAAAAGCCTCCTTCTACTGCTATTTAGTATAGATTGGAAACCATTGAAACATCTCATATTTAAGGGAATTTATAAATTCTCCATTATAACTTTTTGAGGTTTAACAGAATCTCATATCGTGAATCCAAAGGACAAAATTACAGGCCTGTAATAATAAAATTGTTTTTATCACTTTTTCTGGGAGTGTAAGAATTGACTAGTTGTTATTTACTTACAGAAGTCTGTAGGCTAGTATATAAGGGTAACTCTTTTAATAAAAAATAAACATGGTATTCTCATTCTGTAGCAGATGAAGAGTTTCTTTGACTCAGTATCGGTGGAGCAGTATGATCCCTTTTTTCTTAGGTCAGAAGCATCCTTGCAGTCTATCAGATTCCTCTTCCATTTTTGTCTTAGAAATTGTAATATTTCAGTCTGTCTCTGGTGAAATAACTGTATGTTTAATTGGGGGTTGGTATGTATAGTTGAAGAAACCTTTCAATTTTTGCCATTGACCATAAAGAAAATTAGAGTATTTTACAGAAGGATTGTAGTAACTATTTTATAATAATAAACATTAAAATTTATTGTTCGCCATTAATGGAGAAAAAGAATCCTTATGCTTGGTGTATAGTCCTAATAAAAATTCTTAAGTATTAAGATAGATTTCTGTAAGTGTAGCCAGTCTCGTGATGAAAGCTGTGGGTGCTTGATGTCTTCCTGGTTGCAGAGGCCGAGGGGCCCTCCCCGCGGCTACCAGCTTCTTCCTGTTCCGAGCTGGGGCTCGAGCTGCCTTGCTCCTCAGAGCAATAGTGGCAATAATGCCAGCAGACCCCATGTGAAGTGGTGACCGATTATTTTTCAAAACAGGTTGCCACCAACCTCAGTTAGCCTTCACGACTAGTTTGCAGTGGTACTTGAATTACAATAGATAGTGCACGTAGTAGGAAGATAGATGCGTTTTTTCTGAGAGTTTGGAGTTTCTCAGAAGTTAGAAGTCAAGTGGCAAAGATGAATTTTTTCTTGAGAATAATAGGAAGAACAGCTAAAGGCATTATGTACGATGCTATTTTGAAGTAGCTATTATAACTAATTTCATTATAGGAGCATAACTAAACAGAAAACTAATAGCACACGAACAAAAAGTATGATAGCTAAAGTTGAATGAAAGAAAAGAATTGTTTGAAATTTCTGGAATATATTCAAAAGGCTATGGAAGACTGAGTTTGATAGCAAATTAGAAATGTAAAAAATGAAAACTATAGTGCGAAGTTTGCATTGGTAGAAACTTACTTTACCATAAAATATTTATTACGCTAAAATACCAGAGCAGATCGGTCAAATCTCACTGCTTATACAATTGGTGGTCAGTACTTCATTAATTTAAATTACTCAGAAAAAAACAATTCCAAATAGGAAGCAAATATAATCCATTTAAGGGATTTAATTTTCTTAAGTCTTCTTTAACTCTGAATGTGATGATTTCATTTGTAGGACAGAGATATGAGTGATTGTGATATTGAAAAAGAGGCTACACAAAGTCTGGGTAAAACAACAGCTACTTTTGTGATACTTTTTAAAAGTGGTTTTGAATACTTGATAATATTTTTCAGATTTATTTTTCAACACTAAAATGAACTGTTAGTAAATAACTCACTTTATGCTGAAATAGTCTAAATGTACCAAAGAAGTTCATCTTAATTTTTCATTGCATATTGACTCATGGATTTTTAAGGAAATCTATGCTTGCTTCATTATTTCTAAAAATAAAGAATAGTATAGTTTAGCTATTTTTGTCTCTTTACAGAACAACACTGTAAAAATTAGAATTCAGATACAATTGTTTTAAAAAGGCAATGCCAAATTCATACTGAAAACCGCTGGCTCACACATATATTGACCATCACAACAATTTAAAACACTCGTATTTATTCATGATAAGGCATGCTGACCGTGGAGTCTACAATGCACTGTTGTTTTACAGTATTACAGCTCATGGATTTTAATGTAACTTTATAAGGATTATTAATATAAATATAGATTAGTTTAGAAAAGCTAATCTAAGCTTAAATTTGTTTTTGTTTAACAACTCACGCATTTTTAAACAAATTAAAATCAGAATAAATTTTCATTCTGATACCTTAAATGTATATAAATTAATAAAGGTTGTTATGTTTTATACTAATGCATGTTTCCTTTTAGGTAGTGGATTAGGATCAGGCTCTTTTCTTGTGGTATAAAGTTTTAATTTAAGTTCCAGACATTTGTAAATTTGGAGAATAAGCTGAGTGGGAAGAAAAACAAAGGAATATTTATAAGATGGTTATAGCAGATTTTATTTGGGGAATTGGTGGAAATGAGATTCATATAGAATAAGATTTCCTTTTGTACATCTAGGAAACACTTCCTGGAATGCTCCTATATTTTTTATAACTTGGGTTATATTTGTCTAAAAATGTTTATAATTACACTTACTGACTTGTATGTCTGTTCTCTGCATTCCTATATACCCGCACGTATATATCCGTACCAGAAACAGTGTTCATGATGTCATCCAGGCAGGAGTATTAAAATCTAGTGATGTATATATTTAGCCATCTTCATTATTATTATTATTATTATTATTATTTTTAGTAAAGTGATTTCTGATTTTGTTAGGTGTAATTATAGGCTATTTTGTTTCACGTTTTTATAGTCTAAAAGTCATTTCCCTCATAGACCTTAAATGTAATAGTAATCCTCTCATATGTTTTGAAAGTTTAAAAATAGGCATATGCAGCCCTGGCCTGCGTGGCTCAGTGGGTTGGAGCATTGTCCCGTAACCAAAAGGTTGCAGGTTTGATTCCCAGTCAGGGTACATACGTAGGTTGTGGGTTCCATCCTTGGTCCCAGTGCATATGGGAGGCAGTCAATCGATGCTTCTCCCTTGCGTCGATGTTTCTCTTTCCCTTCTTCTCTCTCCAAAAGCGATGAAAATAAGTTCTCAGGTGAGGATTAAAAAAAATTCATATTCATCTAAATTTATAAACTGGTTTTTGAGGTTATTTAAGGTTAGTAATCCCGAAGAGCCTTTGAGGAAGAGCAGTGCAGTGTGGATGAAGGCTGGTTTTGACTGGCAGGCTCCTCCAGCTCTCGAGGCTGCTCCCCAGACAGAGGGGCCGAGCTGGGGGTGGGGGGAGTAGACTCTTGAATTCCCTAAGATTGGAAAATCCAAATTAATGTTCACTCAAAAAATACGTGCATGCGCGCGCGTGTGTTTGTTTGTGTATGTACTTGTGTATATATCTGTAAATTTTATTTTAATTTTTATTGATTTTAGAGAACGGAAGGGGGAAGAGAGAGCGAAAGAGACATCTGGACATTGATTTGTTGTTTCACTTATTGATGCATTCACTGATTGATTCTTGTATGTGCCCTGGGCAGGGATCAAACCCACAGCCTTGGTGTGTGGAGACAACAATCTAACCAATGGAGCTACCTGGCCACAGGCAATAATAAGTTTTGATAGAAATCTTTTAATAGTTGTCTGGGAAGATTGAGCTGTTTAGGAACTGCTTCTTCATCTTGCATCTTAACTTACTATATTTATCCTCTTAACTTTTCACTTAAATTTATGAGAATATGTTAATAAGTACTTTGCATTTTTTATGTGCAAGGCACTGTTTTCAGTGAACAGGATTAGGGAATGTTTTTGAGAAAGGGAAGGAGGACAATTGGTAGGATTTGGATGGACAGCTAGGAAGTAGGCCAAAGTCACTTTAGACTAAAGGAAATGTCAAAGTTCAAGGTATGTTGAGATGATATTGAGTAAAGAAGACTTTGACAGGAGGTTCCATTAAGAGTTGTGCCTTGATTGTGATTTGAACCCAAGATTTAGTCATTAGGTATATGAAATGCAGAAAGATTTGGAAGATTTTGAGTGGAAAATACTAGATATTTAGTATCTAAGCAGATAGCAGATAAATTGTAGGGGGAGAGATGAGGCAGGAAGGCTAGCTGTTGTAGCATGAGTCAAGGGATGACTTGAGAAAT